TTGAGAAAACTTTGTGTTTTTAATCATGATCATATTCTCAAATTCGATTAAGAGTCTTAAAACGATAAAATAACTGAAAAAAATTCATATGAAAATTTTATTATTTAATTCTTTAGCTTATTGAAAACATTCGATTTATTTTATACTATTTATAATATTCTTATATTTGTTTGTTGGTTAGGAGCATTTAAAGTCGATTTAAATCAATGTGAAGAATTATACAAACATTTTAGTTCAACTGTTTTTCATCGAAGTAAAGCATTAGGTATCAGTTCATTAATAACAAATCAATCATATTATGATACAAAAAGTTTTGAGAATTATTTAAGGTAAAAAAGAAAACAAGGAACGAGAAATTAAACATAAAATGATTATTATTTTAGATCTCGAATGGGTGAACGATTAATGTTAAAAACTTCTCTTGATGCTGATTCACCAAAAGTAATTATTCAAAAGTTTTGTTTTTTTTTTTTTCTTTGAAAATTAATTTCATAAGTTTTAGTTTAGCATAATATCTGCATTAACAGTTCCAAATGGTTTTAAATTATTTTTATTTCGTAATTATTCTATATTAATGTCACCTCATGCACATTATGATGGAACATCAAAATATAAAGTATGGGAAGCTGTACGTGCATCTACTTGTGCTCCAGGATATTTTGAAGAATATTTTCTTGATGGAAATGTATTTCAAGTAATGAAGAACATTTAAAATTTATTTATTTGGCAACTAACAAAAAAAAAAATTTTTTGTTTTATTTTCAAGGATGGTGGTCTAATAGCAAATAATCCAACAAGTATTGCTTTACATGAATGTAAATTATTATGGCCAGGTGAAGATATTCAATGTGTCGTATCATTAGGCAATGGTAGACCTGCACCTGATGTTGCATTTCAATCTAAATCAATGGGCTGTAAATAAATGTCTTGTTTTTTTTTATTCAAAAAGAGTTTTGAAGTATAAGAGAAAAAAATTTGATTCCTTCTCATAAATCGTATAGCAAGAGTGGTCTCATCACTACTTTCTTATTTCATCTCTGAAGGATTAAGTAAAAGGATACTGAAAATCTTCTTTTTAAGAGTCTTTAAAATGAAAAAAGATGTATGTGCATAAGACTACGAACAAAAATAATCTTTATATAATTATAAAAGAAATTAAAAAAAGTATTTTATATTTTTAGTAAGACAAAAGTTATCATCATTAGTTGATAGTGTTACAAATACGGAAACAATTCATGTATGTTTACATGATCTTCTACCACCAAATATTTATTTTCGATTAAATCCATTTATGAGTGAAGATTTTGTTTTGGATGAACATCGACCAGAACGTCTTGAACAAATGTTACGTGATACTCAAATTTATATACGTCAAAATGAATATAAATTTCTTAAACTTGCTCAACAATTAACAAGACTTCGATCACCATTTCGACGTCTATTGGATAAATTAAAACAATTACTTTTCATATATACATAAATATTTTTGTTTTGTCTCTATTGTATATAAAATTAAAAAAAATGTTTAATAAATACAATACCATCAAAAACAATAGATATGTTTTAACATAAAATATCTATTATCTTTTTTCTTTTAGATGATTTCATCTTAGGAAGTTAAGATAAAATGTTTTTACTAATATTTGCTGTATGTATTTGTACACTTATTATAATCGTCTGGAAAGTAATACTATCATCACACTCAATAGATCAAGAACAGGTTTTTCAAAATTCATTTTTTTATTTGTTTGTATTCCATCTATATAACGATATTCGTTGAATCCTTTTTTTATAGGACATAATTATCAAATACTGTAGAACAGTCAGATAATTTAATACCATTTATTGATGATATTATTCGACATGACGATGATGATGAAGTACAATCGGTATTTGATTTTTATGAGAGAGATGTTATTGTGTTATTTTTCTTATAGTCATCAACAAAGATTATCTGCGATACAAATGATAACAGTGTTGTTCGAAGTATTCTAGAATTTTTACCAGATGAAATTCTACTTGATGTAATTAGTTATCTAAAACCATATGATATTTATCATAGTCTATATAAGTAAATTGTTTATTTATTTTATATACTTTGACAATTTTATAGATATAATCTCCAATACATATATATCAGAAAAATTGAAACATACGGATTAATTAAAATGTTTTCTATTTAATAAATTTATGTGTTTTCCATCTTTGCTGAAATCTTAGTTCTTAAATCATGTTCAAAAGAAAAAGAAATCCCAGATCTTGCTAAAAATAATATTACGTTCAGATAAAAGAATAACGTAGAGTTATAGTTTATTTGTCTTAGGAGATTTTTATCTATATAAATATAGAACAAAGAAACGATTCAGGATGATATGACCATTCTAAGAAGTATGCTTTATATCAAATTTATTTTTATTTATCAAATTAGGATTTTTTTCAAAGATTGCAATCAAAAATATTAATAATCGAAAAGAAAACATAGTTTACGAATGAATGTTTTTTTTTTGAATTGTATCTTCTAACGATTGAAGAAATCCATAATATATGAAGACTATTCCATTTAAATAAGAATCAAAACTACCCTCTTCTATTCATATCATTACTGTATTATGTAGCAGTGTTGACTTTAGAATACAAATACTCATATTCGAGAAAACTTGTACTTGTTCATTTTGTAATGTATTAATCATACTATATTTATATTCTATTCTAGTCTTAATAATCGTTTTAATTTAATAATCAATGATTTTCAACTTAGTTTACATTTGGATATATCACATATATCAAAATATGAATTTGATTATTGTCTTTCATCAATATTACCTTTACCATCTGTTCTATTACGTCTTTATTCATTACATATATCAAATGATGAAACTTATGGTGCTATAGCATTATTTATACGTCAATATCCATATATAAATATTCCATCACTTCGTTCACTTTCTTTAACTGATGCAACAATATCACAAATAAAATTTCTTTTTCAAAAATTATCTATAAAACTTGAACATATATCAATAGTAACAAATCGAACAATAGATATGAATGATAAACGACAATTATGTCAATTATTATTAAAACATAAAACACTTCGTTCATGTCGTTTATCATTATGTGATGGTGTTGATTGTGATGAAACAATTTTAAATAATTCAATAAATAATCAACTTGAAAATGTAATTATTGATTTATCATATTTTCAAAATATTCTTACACTTTTATCTTATATACCAAATATAAAACAATTAACAATAAATATAAATCAACAAAAATATTATAATCAAGATTATGATGCAGCTGCATTTGATATTGTTCGTTTATATATTCCAATACAATTAACTTATTTTAATTTAAATTTACGTTTTTCAAATGTTGAATTTGAACATATTGAACAATTATTAAATTGTTTAATTAATTTAAAACATCTTTGTTGTTCATCATTTCGTGTTGAACTTGTATGTATAGAATAGAAGAAGAAAAACAAAAAAAAAAGATAAAACCTAAAGAATATTATTATTTATTTAAGGTTGATGGTTATCGATGGGCACAAGTACTTGAACGTCTACCATTATTACGTCGTTTTGAATGTGTTATGACAACATATATATATCATTCACTTGATTTAAATTTAATATCTCAATCATTTCAAACATTATTTTGGAAAGAAAAAAATTGGTCAGTTGTTTGTGATTATTTTCAATATCTTTCTCGTTTAATTATTTATACAATACCTTTTTATAAAAATTTATTTACTTCAACATTAAATGGTTCTCAATCATTGAATGAATTTGATGATAGAAATATTTTACCAAATAATGCTTATGATAAAGTTACTCATCTTAAAGTATCTGTTCAAGGTATGAAAAATTTTAGACAACTGATCATAAAATTTGTAGAGTTTGATATGAGGAAACTTTTTTTTGTGTCAGTAGGTCATTTCAAATTCTTAAATTTAGTTTTCTTGAATTAGATCTCCGTAGAGCAAAAAAGTCAAAATGAATCTAAGATCATCGTAGTTTTATCATGCATTCACCAACGTTACTATTTACAGATTTATTGAGTGTCGAAATTACTTTCGATAAAACAATCTTTATAATGAAGATGTTTTTTTTTGTCATTGAAATAGCTAACGATAAAATCTTAAATATCCGAATATTAGAGAAAAAAAAATCAGAAAATTAATAATAAACTTACAATCCATTAGATAGTATTATTGTATGCAGAGTTTCCCTTCCGAAACGATAAATACTTTTAGAAGCATAAACGCATAGTATGCGGTATAATAAGTACAATATTGTTTATTATTTTAGGATTACATTCCGATAGTATACCAGCTCGTAAATTTCGTTTTGTAACATCCTTATCACTTTGTGATGGTGAATCATATAGTGATCATTCGAATAGTTCACTTCTTTCTTATTTAACATCAACAATTGATTTAACAAAAATTCGTCATTTAAAATTATATTCTTTACTATCTGGTCATACATTATTTTCACTTTTATGTAAAGCACCAAATATTGATTGTTTAAGTTCATCATATCATAATCTTTTACAAATGATTAATGATTTTGGTGATGTTTGGTTATGTTGGTTATTAAATACAATGATTAAAAAATTAACATTATCATATGGTCGTTTAACATTATCAATAGTTGATCAATTTATTGAACTTTTTTCTAATATTGAACATTTATCGTTATGTATGAATATGGATGATATTGATTTTCAAGAAATTCTTTTAAAACTTTTACAAAATTTAACACATCTTTCATCCATTCGGATAAGTTTAGCTGGAAAATTAACAGATCATTTTCAATCTCAAACATTTACATGGCTTTCAACTAATTCACAATTATATTCAGAATTTAATGATAATTTTCTTGATATATGGATTACATAGTAAGATTCAAAAAAACACACACACACAGATAAGGCTGAACTATTGTATACTTGTTTAGTTATGATTTCTTTTTTGTTCTGTTGTTATTTGCTAGTTTTTTTTTTCGTTTTGTTTTTTTTATATTTATTTCCATACATATCTGAATGCCATTTTGGACATAGATGAGAAATAGAAATAACGTTTTACTGCGTACAATAAGTAAACTTAAAAATTTGTTTGATAAAAGTATTTTTTTTGGCGAGTATTCATCATGAATAACGATTGAATAATCATGTATGGAATTGCTACCATAGATTAAGTTGTGTGAAACTTCGCCACCTAAACTTTGGTACTTTAGTGTAGTTTCTATGGGAATCTACACAATTGCAGTTTACAAATGTGTCGTATGGAAATGATGTGGAAATATCAGAGAAATTCTGTATCTTCAACAATTTATTTCACATATTGTCAAACGTCAGATAGAGAAATTTTCAAGGGAGAACAAGCAGATTTTTGTATTTCTTTGTACTTCTTCCTACTTCTCGGTACTTCTTGACAAATATAAAAATTCTGTTCCCAAAAAACAGAACAAAAATGTTCTATTTTTTGGGAACAGAATTTTTGATATTTCCCAATAACAGAACACTTGTTCTATTTTGCGAAAAAATCGAGGAAGAAAGGTCGTACTTCTCTGTACTTCTTGGGTGTGAGTGTAGGTGTGGGTGTGGATCTGGGTATGGCTGTGAGTGTGGGTGTGAGTGTGAGCATCGTTTAAGAGATGATAGACACCCACACTCCACATCCACCCCCACCCACACCAGCACGGTAGTGCTGGTTTTCAGAACAAAATTGCGCATGCATACATCAGACTGTATATCAATCAAAACTTCATCAATTTTGATTGCACAGAAAAATAGTGAGAAAAAACGAAAGAATGCCTGATAACTGGAGGTAATTGGAGAAAGAGTGGGTGTGACGGGTGTTGGTGTGGATCTGGGTGGTTGTGAGTGTGATTGTGAAAGGCTGTGGGTGTTAACCTTTGAATTAAGAGAAGCATCCACACCCACACCCACCCACATGCACACCCTTATTGACATTTTGAAAGAAAAGATTTTTAAAATTCAATGAACAGTTTGGGATTGACTTTAATGCATCCTTATTCATTAAAACTTGGTGACTCCTTACAAAATATGGACACACGCAGCAAAAAAAAGATTTTGTTGATAACATAAAATGAAAGGAAAGAAACAAAAAAATGTAATTTACTTTTCATTTTCTTCACTATTCAGTTACTTACACAATCTACCTTCATACTAATGTCACACACTGTACGTATGCATACGAAAAAAAAAAGAAAGATGGCAATACTGATAGAGATATATGTGTGAAATATTGTTTTTTCTTCATTCTCAATGCTAACATCTAGTAGTGTCTCTCTGTCTTTTGATACTTGCACATTTAGAAAAAAGAATTCGACATAATCATACAGTCATGGATCAAAGTTGGGTATTACTAACCATTGTTCCTTCAAATGATAAAATTCTGTGTTTTCAGCAATACTAAGTCAAGTCTTCAATGATGTTGTTGTATTTTTGTTTCTATTATTGAAAATAAAAAAGATGATGAATTCTGTCATCGATATATTGCTTGAGATTAGTAAAATTAGGTAGTATATCGATATGGAAAAAAATAACATATAAATTATATAAGAAACAATTTAGCTAGAGTGAG